GGCCTGTGGCCGCACCGTGGCCATCTCGCCGTGCCGCGGCCATCCGAGCCGGTTAGCACGTTTCCCCTTTGGGTTCAGCAAGCTTTGGGTGACGTTTGGAGGCACCACCATTAGAACGTGCTCTCTTGTGTCTTTTGCACTGGGTTGCTTTGCCTGTGTGTTACCTTCCCTCTGTCTCTCCTTGTCCACCAGATTATCAGAGCGAGTATTACGGCCCTGGAAGCAATTACGATTTCTTCCCGCAAGGACCTCCTTCATCTCAAGCTCAGACACCCGTGGATCTCCCTTTCGTGCCCTCCTCGGGGCCGTCAGGCACTCCCCTGGGGGCCATGGATCACCCCCTGCCCGGACATCACCCCTCCAGTGAGGCTCAACGCTTCACTGACATCATGTCGCATCCCCCCGGAGACTCGCCCAGCCCCGAACCCAACCTGCCCGGGTCCTTGCACTCCATGTCCGCAGAAGTTTTTGGTCCCAGTCCTCCATTTTCTTCGATATCCGTCAACGGTGGTGCTAACTATGGCAATCACTTGTCACATCCACCAGAAATGAATGAAGCGGCTGTGTGGTAGCTTTAAAACAAACTGGGTCTAAGTAAGTGATGATCATCTAGTCTGCTTATTGTTATGGTGTACAGAAATGAATAAATATAACATCTCTCCTGCCCTAAGACAATATTACCTTGGGAACGAACTGAATCCAAATCGCTCCAAGGCAAGCTTTGCTCTAGACCAGGACAATCTCCATGTTATGGTTGTATCAAACAAGCAAGGGGACTTTTTTTTTGTACCATTGACAAAGAAACTGGTGAAGCTGTACAGTAAAGTGCTGCCATACCGTAGGATGGCGTTAAGTTTGATTACCCTGTTGGATGTCATCCTAAGAGCCACAATCCTTAGAAACTTCTCATTTAAAAACAAACAAACAAAAAAATAATTGAATGAAGGAAAGGTCAAGGAAAAGGGGGAAAAAAGCTTCAAGAACTCTAGCGTTCCCGGTTAAGGATGGTTCTGGCATTATGAATTTGTTTGTTAATTTTTGTCTCTCAGAAAGTTCAACAACAAGAAACTCTTTTTAGCTTCAGCCATTTCAGCCTGCTGACTATCAGGTGGGACAACTTTCTTTTTCCTTTCTCTTTTGTTCTGTTTTCCAAAAATAGCAAATACTAAATGTTAAGCCCTCAGCACCAACTCTTCTACCTTCACAAAGCTACACGTACAAAACCTCCTCATCATAGCGAAGGTCACGCCCAGACCTCTAAGAAAATGACTTGAAAAAACAGACAAACAAACAAAAAGTATTCTACCTTCACAGAGAGAGAAAAGCTAAACAAAAAGACTCTATTGAACTAAAAACAGTCAACTGTTTACGTCTAATGTTAAATTCAGGAGTTCAATGTTTTACTAATAAATCCTGTTTTAGAACCTCTTGTTCAAAAGCAAAATATTTTGAGCAACCAACCAAAATAGTTCATTTTTCTTTTCTGTAGATGTTCGAACAGATTGCAGGGCTTGTGGTTCACTGTGCTAGTTTGTAAAAGGTGTTGTTTACAGAAGGCAAAGAAAAAACAAAAAAAAAAACCCCACAAAACCCAGACAGTTGCCAAATAAAGTAAATATATAGCACAAATACTGTAAGGTGCTTTGCACCAGCAACCCGAGAAGGTGTTTAAAAAGTGTTACAAGGTTAAAAAGAAAAAAAAAAAAAAAGACAAACAAACATCTTTGCTAATTTTTAGTCCTGTTGAACATTCATGGAATTGTTAATATGACTTATATAGACCCACACAGGTTTTATTTTTGTGTCTTTAAAATAAAAGTCCAAAATATTTAAATTTTATGGTCAAATATGCAGTCAACAGCTGCTACTTTTTTCTTTATATATTAAATTTCTCATATGTCTTTTATTGTTCTAATAAACCTAAGCTTGTGTGACCTCCAGTGCATATTAGACCATTCACTGTATGAAAGAAAACATGTTGGATAAAATTTGTGCGTTTTTAATAAAATTAGAAAATCTGATGTTTAGATAACTCGTGTTTCATTTGATGTTTTGAGGAATTTTCAATGGCTTCTCTGGAGTAAAATAGCCCCGAGAAAGAACGATCCGCTCTCCCGCTACTCCTGCACAGCTCCTTTGCCGGGGCGGAGGGCTCAGCCCCGCGGTGGCTGCGCAGAGCGGTCGGTGGCAGCTCCAGCCCTTCTCTCCATCTGCAGCCTCAGTCCTTGAAGGAGAAACAATCCGTTACGCTGTCCGTTAAATTGCAAAATTGGAAACTCAGCGAACTGTTAAATATATTAACCTATTCTTGGTCTGTGCTAAGAGAGAGCGTACTCAAAAATGCTTATTTTATGCCTAAACAGAACTGTGTGGTAAATGTAAAAAAAAAAAAAAAAACCAAAAAAAAAAACTTGCAAAGATACAGTTTTGAATTGATCCATTTTTGGTTAAATTAATTCTCTGGAGGTAGTTTTTCTTTTTTCCCCTAATTGGATGGTTTTGAACACAGCATAACCTCAATGTCAGGAAAGTAATTTTAATCCTTTTTTTAGAGCTGATACAAAGTCAATTGTTTAATAGTGTTTGGTACACGCGAACTTCTCTGAAGGGCAGCGGGGGAGAATATTTTGCTTTGCACTAGATGCAGACTAATTTTCTCGGAGAGAAATGAAACGCGACAAAAAAAAATTCTGGAACGTTGTGAAATGACAGATTTAATGTTTTCATTATAAATGATTGCAGAATCCCAAATATTCAGTTCTTCAAAAGCAAAAGTCTGACTGATGCCGAGAGGACTTTGACCTGTGTTAGAGGCAAAGAATTGGGTTCGGTTCTGAAAAGTCACTGGTTTAAATGTTTTCCACCTGCTGAGCTCGTAGAATGGGATGAACTCTAATTGCCTATTTTCCTTCGTCTCTCAACTAACCGTGACTCTGGCTGGCTTCTTTTTTATTTGTACGTAGACGCAGAAATTTACGCTAAAACACAGACTTCTACATTCCCAGCGACTCAGTTATTTCTTTCTTTGGAACGAAGGGGGAAAAAAAAAACAAAACAAAACAAAAAATCAAAATGCTTTAAAGTTGTATGATTTGTGATTTTCAACGGTGATTTTTTTATTTTGTTCACACCGTAGTTTCTCTGCCCGGCAGAGGGGCCACCTAGACGAAGCAATAGTTCACTTTAAACGCAAATGTCTTATATAATAATATAAAGATAAAAACGATCTGCAAGGGATCTGTTAGTGTTTCTAAAAAAAAAAAAAAAGAAATCATGCTTTATTAAATACAGGGGAGACTTCCTAAACTCATGGACTCCGTGTCTAACTCATTTCTTTGTCTTTTGTATTGTTGCTCTGATTTGTTGCTCTGTTTTGCATTTATATAAGCAAAGTAACGAGTGCTCTATTTATTACAAACTTTTACTTATCCGGGCAAGTGCTATTGATAAATACTGCTGTTTGTGCTTCTGGTCTATGCTGCTGTTTTATTGTTGAATTGATTATTTTAAATGAGAACTTCACCAAATTGGCTTATTTTGGAGAAAACATGTCTGCCACGCGGGTTTTAGGTTTTGAATTTTTTTTTCTTTTCTTTTTTTTCTTTTTTTTTTGTAATGAGGTGCTTGTACGGTTTGTTCTGTGTTAATTTAGGCAGCGATGTGCTACGGTTCACTTTAGGTCAGTGGTTTATAAAAGGGAGGGAGGAGAGCCTGACTTTTTTTTTCGAGGCTCCCATCCCTTCCGCGGGGGTCGTGCCTATCGCGGGGGGAGCCGGGGAGCCGGTCCCGTGCTCCAGGCTGAGCGTGTCCTTCAGCGCTTCCCGGGATCCGCTCCGGAGGCCCCAGCACTTTGCAGATTTGAATTCTGTTGCTCTTCAGAGGGAGCTCGGTGTTTCTGAAGACCCTAATCCAGCAACAATTGCACAGTCAAAACTCCTTTTGAAACCATTGTCACGTTGGGTTCTTGTAAGTCCTTGTTTACAAGAGCATTTCCATTGACTTCGGGAGCACGGCCGGGGTGAGCAGAGGTCCGCAGGAGAAGGGCCTCGGAAATGTGTGCTGCTCGGATGGATTTTACACGCGCGTGTTAATTTTTTTGTAACTGCAGAAACGTGGACGTGAAACATGCAACGATACGTACGGGCAATGTCATTTCGAAAGCGTTTTTTTTTTAGAAGTAATTACTCTCTTTTTGATCTTTTCTTCCTTGACGGCTGCTGGTTTCGGTGACCTTCACCTTGTTGCTATGTCCCAGCAGAAGGTGCAGCCCGGTGACGTTAAACCCCGCGCGGGCCCACGTCTGCTCGCCCAATTTTGGACGGGGCGAGCGGTCCGCGCCCTCCCGGCATGGACAAGGGAGATTCGGTGTGTCAACGCGCGGGACCGAAGACTTGCGCAGACCCCGTGTGCAGCACCACTTACCGTTTCCCAGGAAAAAGGTGCAAGGCAAAGACTGTAAGTATTGTTCCCGTTGAGTTAATCTATACGGAGGAAATATTTTTGACGGCTAATCGAAGGGTCTTTAAAAATGCCGTGAGTTTCCAGCATCCAAACAGCTCTGCTTTTGGCCCAAGCTGATGGCGTGCCATGCTGTCGCGGGGTGATGCTCCCCTCTGCCCTTGCCCCGTGCCCCCGTCACCACGGGCATCGCTTTGCCTCAGGCCTTCGCTTGGGGAACGGTGGGAGACTGGTAACGGTCTGCATCCCAGCAGTAAGAATGTATTTAAATTACGATTTGTAGACAAATGGTGTATATTATTTTAGTATGTGTGTGTGCGCCCAGATGCTGAGCCGTGGGTGCACGATACAAAGCTATAAATAAATATTATTTTAAAAGATCAGTGGTGATTGACATGCTTTTGCCACCTTGGGAAGTGGCAGATATTGCAGTGTCCTCTCAGGAACGATTCCTTTTGCCACAGTCTGGATGTTTTTCCCCTGAACAAGAGTGTTGTGTTTAAGCTTTGCATGTTCTTACAATATTAAGTGTAAGCAATTTCAGTCTCCCTTTCTGTTACTGCCCCTAGTAGATAAACTCACATACATTAAGATTGAGCAATTGATACATATCCTTAAATGCTGTCAACGCTGTTGAGCTGGGAACGGGGAATTGTGACGCTGGAGCAGGTTCTGGAAGGCCTTTTATTTGCGTCTGCCATGGCACCGGGGTGCTCGGCGTTCCTCACGCCAACTAAATATCCATGAGGTTATAAATGAAATTAATGGGACCATTACAATATATTTTGATTATGAATCCTTCTGGGTTTGCTGTCTTCTGTTTCTTTTTCAATAGGATTTGTGGTGCTTTTAGCTATAGAGCAGGGGGTCGTGCTTAGAAAGCGCAGTTTGTTGTTGTCCGGAGAGTTTTTCGTTCGTTAAATGCAGAACGGTAATGCAGAAATGGAGGAGTTAAGGCGGCCTTGCCGTTAGCAGAGCTTCAAATTACTGAACCTCTGTAACTGGAGTGGGAGGGTGCCCTTAGGGCGGCCGATCTTCCTGCAGTCCCTTGGCCCCGGGGCGCGTGGGGCGGCCGGACGTGGTGCACGCGGTCGTTGCGATGGTGCGAATCCCGGTCCGGTTCTCGGAGAAGCCCTCTGGTCCTCTGCGTAACCCTCCTGGGGCACCAGGGGCACAACCCGTCTCGCCGAAGTCTTCTGTTCCAGGCTGCCTTCAAATTCAGGAATCACCCCGCTCCGCCGACGTTTGGCGCGCTGTTTACAGAGCGTTTTTGGCAACTGTGAGAATTAGATTGTTTTGGTTTTTTTTTCCTGACTGGTTTTAATAGAGGCTTGCTGGCTGCAGAATGTGAACCTTTAGAG